CTGGCTGACCTGCTGCCGGGCCTGCGCCAAATACTTGGCTGCCTCCGCCGAACGCTTCTGGATGGAGTCCGCGGCCTGCCTGCTGCTTGGAGAGGACCGACTCAGGAGAGTCCTGCGACGGGAGCGCGCTGCCAGTGGAAGCCGGCGCGATGGACGACCTCAGGCCTGCTGCCGCAACCGCGGACTCCAGGCGTATAATGGCCGTTTCTAATATCGTCTCGTCCACAGTGCGGAAATGTTTCTGCGCGCCCAGATCAGCTTCCGCCGAACTTGCCCTCTTGGCCAGCTGCCGCCGGAATAAATCGTCGCACAGGATGACCAGGAACTGGCTGTGCTTCACTGACTTGTGCTTTTCCACGAGTTTCGCCAGCTCGTCTTTGTAGCAGATGACCGTTGCCCACGTGAGCTGCTGCATCGCCACGGGTGCAACAGCGTAGCGGTCAAATGCCGTGGTCAACTGCACGGACGACCGGAACAAACGGCGGGTGGCCATTGCGCTCCTCAACGCACTGGTAAACTGACCAAGCGTTGCTACTGACGAAGACGGGTCCAGCGTCGAACTCCATTCGCCTCCCGTGAGCGCCTTGCCCCCTATGGCGTCCGAGGGGAACCGGAGTAGGAGGGTCTCCCTTGCTGTGAGATCGACATACGAGAACGTTTCCCGCTGATTCTTTTCAGCAGCAGCATTTTGTGCGCGTAGCACGCGCCAAGCCAGCTCTCCAGCCTGGAGGTGGTACGGGAACCTTTCGAGCCCCGCTTTGGCAAGTTGTTCTGCAACATTCACCTTGTCAGGTGTTACCGCCAGAAGTTTTGCCACCACCTCGGCTGAGTAATTTGACCCAACCATCCAAGACATCCTCTTGCATGGTTTGGGGAAGGGTTGGGTGGCTCTGATGTGGGAAAACAGAAGCGGCAAGTGTCGGAGCGACGCCACCGCTCCGCTGCTCAGGGTTTGCCGCGCGAGTTGTGCGACGCACGAGTCCCAACACAGGCAACGGCAAGTCATTATTCACATCCTTTTCAACCAAGCCGACCAGGTGACAAGGGTCCGTGATCTTGTTCTCCTTGAAGTACGCCACCGTTGCCTCCAGGATCTCTCCTGCTGGCTCCCTGGCGTCCACCTTCTCAAGGAAGGTCTGCAAAGAAACCTCTACCATCAGGAGAATCTGGCCACAAGAGGCTGAAAATGTGTAGCAGGTTTTGCGCTCAACCGCTTGAGCCGCCTGAGCCCAAACGGCTACGGACACGCTGGTTCCGGCCCGTGGCAATCCCGCTTCTGACCAGAATCTCCGGGCGAACCCTGCCGTGGAATGCAGAATCTCTGGGCGAATCCTGCCGTGGCCACGAGGTGCCGGAAGCGGCGGCGCCGTTCCAGCACGGACGGAGAACGAGATCCACTCTACTGCTTCGCTGCGCCGAAGCCGTCGGCAGAAGAGTCGCTGATGCCACTCGCTGAAGCCAAGAACGGTCCGTGAGTGATGACAACTCCCTCCGCGGTGATCCCCACATGTGCATCTACCACAGAGCCTCCCGCGGAGGACGCCGACGGACACGGTAATAACGACAACCCCATCGGGAGAAAGGTAACACGTCAAAATTCGGCTTCCTGTGGGGAGGAGAAGGCAAACGAAGACAGGGGGAGAGGAAGGGAACGGAATCTCACAACTCAGCGAGACCAAACTTCTGGAGCACCCGGCGCCGGGGGCCTTCCGACAACCCTCGACAGGTCCTCCCCTGAATCTCCGTCCGCCTCCTACAGCGTGCGTTCTCTGGCTCCTTTGGGCAAGCACCTAACGGGTTAGGTTTCCGCACAAGGGGCGCGATACACACCGCCGTCGCGGAGGGCAGCAATACACGCGTTGTTGCTGACAAACACGAGAACCAACTCCGCGGCACGTGGGTCCCTTGTCGGAGGAACCAGTCGTCGCGCGGCGGTCATTGCCCATGGCGGCCGCTGCGAATGGAAAGTATAGGAGGAAGGAAAGAAAGCAGGGAGCAGGTAGAAAGCGGCGCGGAAGGGACGGGCGGAGCGGAGCCGAGGGACGGAGCCGAGGGAAGGATGGGGGGGCTCCAGAGCGCGCGTGCTGCCCCTCCCCCCCCGTCACCTCCAGGCGCGCGCGTGAAGGGTGCGGGGCCCCCAAGCCGCGCGCGCCCCCGCGCCCACCTCTGGGGGAGCGGAGCACCCTGGCGGGACCTGCCTGGCCTCGGAACCGCTACCAATCCATCGTCGGCGTCGGCGTCGGCGTCGGCGTCGGCGTCGGCGTCGGCGTCGGCGTCGGCGTCGGCGTCGGCGTCGGCGTCGGCGTCGGCGTCGGCGTCGTCGTCGTCGTCGTCGTCGTCGTCGTCGTCGTCGTCGTCGTCGTCGTCGTCGTCGTCGTCGTCGTCGTCGTCGTAGTCATCGTCGCGAGGCCGCGCCTTCAGCTCCTGCCACTGCGTCCCAGCTGGGATGTTCGACACCAGGAGCTTCGAGCCGTCCTGGGACTTGGGGTCGTACTCGAGGCTGATCTGGCTGCCCTGGAGGAACGAGAAAGGCAAGCAGCCCCAGCATCGGGTCGATACAAAATAAGCATACAGTAACACGTCTTGTGAGTCGAACTTTAGCTGTACATGTCCCGACGTATCTTTGAACATCCTCAAGTCTCTCAAGGCTTCTGTGGGTCCTCATGGCGGTCGGGGAATGATGCATTTCCATTGGGCACCCGCTGGCAATCCAATTTCTGCTTTGGTGCGCCTGCTGCATGTCGAATCGGATAGCCTTGACAACGAATCGCAAAGAGTCGCTCGTGGGAGCTGTGGCATCGGAACCGGCAAACGTAGGATAGGCCGAGGTCGGATCGACTCAGAAACTTGCAGGGACGACCCCAGATCGGCTCAAACTCGGGCCACAATCTTGCGCTGCCTTGGAGGTTTGAAGAGGGTGGAGCTTCATGGAGTCCCAGGGGCTGCAATGAGCTCCCATGGCGGCTTCCTAGAAGGGGCCAAAGCAGATGTGGTCGGGAGATCGCACCACATCGTCGATGCATCGGCGACGTCGTAATCTTGGTTCATCCTAAATATGCTGTGGGAATTCTAGCGTTTTCAACTCGGCGTGTGGGAAATATTTGCATTAGGGTTTTCAGGTCTCAGCATGGAACAAGAACACATGTTCCGAATATGTTGCTCCCCATCGTCGGAGCACGCCGCGGACGGGCCGTGGGCTACTAGGCCTGTTTCGCACAGGTGTCAGACCGGTGGCGGAACGATTGTTTATTATTTACTGTTTTCAGCTCTGTGCACGGAAACAGAGTCTCAGCCACCGCCCCGACTATGGAACTTACGATGAAGATGAAAGCGCCAACAAACATAGCGTGAAGACACTAACCACTACACTACGAGCTTGTTCCCTACCTAGGCTCTGCCTAGAAGGGTTCTTACCCTGTATGTTTTAAAGGGCCGGGCAGTGCTCCCCGCCGCGGGCGGTTCCCCCAGCCCCCTGGGAGCTTTAGCTTTAGCTTTAGCTTAGCTTTAGCTTCAGCTTAGCTTTAGCTTCGCCTTAGCTTAGCTTTAGCTTAGCTGTAGCTTAGCTTTAGCTTAGCTGTAGCTTAGCTTTAGCTTAGCTTTAGCTTAGCTTTAGCTTAGCGTTACCTTAGCTTTAGCTTATATTTAGCTTAGCGTTACCTTAGCTTTAGCTTAGCTTTAGCTTAGCTTTAGCTTAGCTTTAGCTTAGCTTTAGCTTAGCTTTAGCTTAGATTTAACTTAGATTTAGCTTAGCTTTAGCTTAGCGTCAGCTTACATGTAGCTTAGCTTTAGCTTAGCTTGATCTTAGATTTAGCTTAGCTTTAGCTTAGCTTTAGCTTAGCTTTAGTTTAGCTTTAGCTTAGATTTAGCTTCAGCTTAGCTTCAGCTTAGCTTTAGCTTAGCTTTAGCTTAGCTTAGCTTTAGCTTAGCTTTAGCTTAGCTTTAGCTTAGCTTTAGCTTAGCTTTAGCTTAGCTTTAGCTTAGCTTTAGCTTAGCTTTAGCTTAGCGTTAGTTAGATTTAGCTTAGCGTTGGCTTAGCTTTAGCTTAGCGTTAGCTTAGCTTCATCTTAGCTTTAGCTTCGCTTTAGCTTAGCTTTAGCTTAACTTTAACTTAGCTTTAACTTAGCTCCAGCTTAGCTTTAGCTTAGCTTTAGCTTAGCTTTAGCTTAGCGTTAGCTTAGCTTTAGCATAGCTTTACCTTAGCTTTACCTTAGCTTTAGCTTAGCTTTAGCTTAGCTTTAGCTTAGCTTTAGCTTAGCTTTAGCTTAGCTTTAGCTTAGCTTTAGTTTAGTGTTACTGTTACTACTAATGCTGCTTTCATAGGGGCTCCAACTCCTAGGTAGGGTCGCACTGGGATAATTATTTGCGATGGCAGCTGGTCAAGAACCAAACCCAAAAACCGCGTAAAATCCACATGGTGTTTTCAAAATCAACCAAAGTTGGAATAAAGCATATCCAGGCTTCAGGTTTCGTCACATCGCCGTTGGGAGGACTTGTTTCCCAGGGGCCCCAATGGCTCTCATGACGCTGCAGGGGTCGCCAGAAGCTCCGCGGATCTACCAGAGCGCTCCCCAGCACCTGCCGTCCCAGGAGATTCCAAGAGCACCATCGCCAAGGGGATCACCAGCGGAAGGAGGTAGAGGATGGTGAGAAGGAAGGAAGACCAGTTCTCAGCTCTTCGCGGTTGTGCGCCCCTCCTCTCCTGAAGCATGGCGCCGTTCAGCGTCTGGAGTGCCGTCGCCGTGTGGTTGGGATCGTCGTACCGGATCTCACCTGTCACCTAATCAGAAGAAGGCGTCTGTACACCACCACCACCACCACAATACCTGGCCAGTGCCCAGTATGGTGTGCACGCTCTCCTGGCTGAGGCCAGGAACGCCAATGCACCATCCTGGGACCCTGGCTACGGCAGGTTCGTGTTTTTTACGACCTGGTGTTGGTTTCTGAAACCGCGTGGACTATTGAACCTTGGAAGATCGGCGATCGCCAAATCGTACCATATTGGCCGATTCTGGGCCAACGGCGGCGTTCAACCTCGAACGCCCGCGGCGGGGTCACCGCCGCGTCGACATAACGCGAACCTGCCGTAGGCATACTGGTGGTGCAGGCACAGGCAAGGCCCGCCGCCCCAGCCAAGACATCCGCGGCCCCAGGGAAGTCCCCACCAACTCCCCGGGGCCAATGTTTCGCCTCAGACCCACTTTTGATTGCCCCAGGGAAAATGGGCCCCAGAGACCCAAATCGAGGAAAACTGCGCGGACTGGAGAAGTCCGATCGTTGACGAAGCGTCTGCGGATCGCCATGACCCCCGAGGCAACGCCCGCCGCCGCCTTGGAGCCTCCGCCTTTCTTGCCGCCGCCCCCTTTGCCGCCGCGACCACCACCTGGGGAGCAACAGAAGCGCGGGCCTCGTTTGCCCCGACGATGCTGCCCAGCTCCCCCACCCTTGTTCCCCACTCGCCCTCTCCCTCTCCATCGCTGTGGTGTTGGGTCTTCGCTTTGAAGAGACAGCGCCCCACGTCCCTGCCACCTCCTCCTCCCGCTCTGCGTTCCCTCCCCCCATTCTTGCCTCTGCCCTCCGCGTGAGCATGGTGGCACACCCCATCACACGCTTCGTGGCCCCATAGGGAGCTCCACCGAAGGCCCAAATGAGCGCGCGCATGGCAGTTCCAGCCCAACTTGCGGCGCCAACCTGGCACCGCCGCTGCATCTTAGCACACCCTTCATACGATTCGTGGCCCCATAGGGAGCTCCACCGAAGGCCCGAGCGGCAACGCCCGCCTGGCACCGCCGACCCCAAGTTAGCACACCCGTCATACGCTTGTGGCCCCATAGGGAAGTGCACCGAAGGCCGCCCGCGTGGCGCCGCCGCGCCCATTGTGGCACACCCGTCAATGGATTCGTGGACCCATAGGGAGCTCCACCGAAGACGATACCCGCAACCGCGGCACCCAAAAATGCATATGGTTCAGTCCTTCGCCAGATGTGTTTATCTTTCTCCATATTCATGTAGATGTATCTACGCACGTACATGCATCCGTATATACGTACAGATTACACGTAGCACCTCGTAACTACGGAAAAGAATGCGGGCGCGGGCGCACAGTGGGTCGCGCGGACCAACAACGAGACGACACCACCCCACCTACGGCACGACGGTGTTGGAATGTCAACCACTTGCCCCGCGCGGCCTCGGCTCGTTCGTCACCACGAAAACCCCGCAGCGGCGTCGGGGAGCCGCCGCGCCACGCGGGCGCCGAACGCCACCCCGGCACCGTTTGCACTAACAGCGATATGGGCCCCACGCACTGGCCACACGAGATTCCCAGTCACTCAGTGCACGCCGCTTGCCTCGCACAACGCCGGATGGCGCCGTTCGGCGGCGCGCTGCCGCCACGCGTCGTCTTGCCCAACCCAACGCCGCGCCCAACGCGCCACCGCTAGCGTTTTTCAGAACAGCGTCGCCGCACCCCGTCGAGCTGATATGCGTCGCGCTGGCGGCGCTCGTCGCGCTGGCCAGCGTCGTGGCGCTAGTCCCCGCCGCGTTCCCACGCGGCGGAGGGGGGGGGCGTCGCGCCGCGCGTCGCCGCGCTGGTCCGCGCTGCGACGACGGCACCCGCCGTGGCGATCAAACTCGCGTTGCTGGCGCCCGTAGTTCGGGCCCCTGGTGACTGTCGAAATTCGATTGTTGCGTTCAGTCGCGCTGCTCGGCGCCGGGCCGTTCGCGTCCGTCGCGCTGCCTTGCGCCGCGGTCACGGAGCCCGATGGGCCGCCCAGTTTTGCGCGGCCGCGCCAAGCGCCGCTCGCTTAGAACATGCCCATGGGAGCGAGTCGTGGCCGGCTGATCAGCGCCGCGTCGCTGGCGCCCGCCACGGCGCGCGCCGATGGATATCCGCCGCGCCCGTCGCGCCGCCCGGCGTTGCAGTGGAGGCGCGCATCGCGTGGCCCTCTGGCGCCTGTCGAGCGGCTCAGCATCGCGCTGGCGGCGCCAGTTGCGCTCGCGGCCACGGAGCGACCTGGCTTTAACCAAGCTGGCAAAGGAGGGTGGGGGAACGGGCAGCAGGCGGGGCGCGAGGAAGGCGAAGGGGCGGACAAAAACGGCGGCAAAGTCGGCAGCGCCCGCGCCGCCGCTACCATCGCCGCGCGCGCCCGCGGCTGGCGCTGCATAGCCGCCAGCAGCGCTTTTGACGGAGGATCAAACATAACTGAAAGGAATCGCGCGGCGGAAGCAGGAAGAGGGGAGCAGGACTGAGAAAAAGAAAGGCGGGGAGGAGAAGGGAAACAACGATAACGAAGCTGAAAAAGAGAAGGAGGATGGGGGGTCCCGAGGTGGGATGGGGGGGGAGGGGGGGCCGAGGGAAGATGGGCGGGGAAGGAAGCGAGAGGGGCAGAAGCCAGGCGCGCGACTCATGAACAGGGATGAAGGGGGGGGGATGGGAGGGCGAGAAGGGGGTTGGAATCAAGGAAGGAAGCGGCAGGGATAACGCGGAATAGAACACCGAAGGTGGACAGGGGGGAGGGGGGGGAGGGGCGACAGGGGGAGGGGCGGGGTGGGGGGAAAGCAGAGGATGGAGGAAAAGCCTTGTGGAAATGCCAAGTGAGAATGCTGACATCGGCTTCCTTTCCCGCCAAGAGATCTTTGTCCGCGGCACCGATCACGCCGCCTGTCTGAAGGCCACCTTGCCCCGCGCCCTCGAGGCCCAGTCCTGAGTCGCGCAGAGCGACCAAGCGAAGACGAGAAAAAAGGATACGGATTTGATGGCGACAGCGGCATTGGCGTCCGCGATGCCCCGCAATGCAGCATTTGCCTCGATGAGGTTTTTCACCTCGGAGTTGGGCAGAGCGCTGCTCATAAAAGATGCGCCCCCCGACGCGTTGGGCACGCCTTCTCACGGCGTCTCATGGAGTTCCCCACGCGAAAGACGCGCGGCTGTGATCCCCTCTGGCGTCGCCGGTTGTTCGGGGTTATTGCGGCGCTCCCACGGGAGACTGGTAGGTCGAGCTCGCTCTGCAAGATGCCGCGCCATGGAGATGGCGAAGACGAAATTTCTGCGCTGCCGCAAAGTGCGCGCGCCGCACGCAGCGGCGCCCTCCGCGAGCTCAGTCCGTCGCCCGAATGTGAACCGCTTCCGAAGGCGAGAACTTACATCGAATAATATGTCTCCAATGCCACTCCCCCGACAAGTCATCTGTTTCGACGACAGCGAGACCCGGAAATTGCCCAGGGCGTCCGTCAATAATCGAGCGCGCAAGCATGACGTAGGGCGCCAGAGGATGGCAGGCGAAGCCATGCTCTTTGAAGGCGGCCAGAAGCCTTCTGCGCCAGCCTGGAGGGCCGGTTCTGCGGCCTGGAGTGCGTCTTGCAGGAATGCCGCTTTGGACGCTTTGGAAGCAATGCGACACCGGGGTCGAAACTCGGAAACGCGCTGGACAATGAGCTCTTCTGGAAGAGTACGCTACGCGTTTCCCCTGCGGCGCAAAGAAACCGTCGAGCTATTCCTTTGCAAAGGTAGAGCTGCCCAGTTTTTCAAGAACAGCTCCATGCAGCGAGGCGTCCAAAAGATGAAGATGCTTTTAAACCGGCTCCGACGGCTCAATTTTATCGGCGTGGCCGTGCGCAACAGTAAGACAGCGGACGGGGAGCTGGTCAAACACTTGGGCAAGAAGCCTGGGTACCGCACTATCTTGTTCGACGAAATGGAGAGCGCCGCTTCGCTCGTGGCTGCGGATGACAAGTTCTTGGTGGGACAATTTGTGGTACGACGGCGCATGGGATGGCCCATGGGGGGCCCCTTATCGGAGCCAGCGACTCTGATAGACTTGGGCATGGAGGTTGAAATTGCACAATGATCCGGCGAAGCGTCAAGAGATCGGTTGGTTCTGCCCTTCCAGACCTGATCTGGGGCCATGTCAATTGGTCGCAGGTTTGCAGCACGTCGACGACGCGCTTCTGATATCTCGTATATTTTGTCCTGCGTGTTTGTTCAACGGTCTGAACAAGCTATGGCCCCAGGACGTAGGATGTGATCTGGAGGAGCATGGACAAAGCGTGCGTTTCTTAGCCGCCGAAGTTGCGGTCAATGCCGAAGGAGGTATCGATGTTTGGCCAAGAAATGTGAACAAAGATTTCGTGCTTGGCCGTGACGCCTGGCCGAGAGTAGCTCGGATCCTCCCGTGGGGTCCGAAGGCGAGTTCCACAACGCTCCGGACATTCATGGTCTGCCAGATTTTATCATGCAACCAACTATGCGAAGGGCAAGTCTCGCGTCTCGTTGTTGAGTCGCTCCATTTGCTCGTTCTGGAAGCCTTTCGCTCTGGTTGGGGAGTCAAAGCAATTTCAAAAGCAATGCTGTGCACAAGCCGCAAACACCAGAGCGACTTCCTCACGTCCGTGCACAAGCTTGCCATCGCTCTGAGGAGGTCGCGCGTGCCCGCACTGTGCACAGGCACGTTGGAAATGGGTGGCGTCTGTGCTTCTGGGCCCACCACGACGCGCGATGTCCCTGATGCGCGCCCTTCGGCGAAAGTATCGCCCGTAAGTATCCTTCAAGAGTTCTATCGCCACCATGCTATGAAGGACGTGCTTGAACGAGTCCGTCAATGCGTCGATTCTGCGGAGGTGGAGGCCGCAGGAAGCAGGGAGCTGTTTCATTTCACGCGCCTAGCGTGGCGCATGTTGACCGGTTCGTGCGATTGAGGGGACTATTTCTGGGGATTGTCCTCGACCGATTGTGGGCAGCAGCTGCTGTCTACCTCCCGCCCTGATTGATCTGAGCACGCGCGTTTGTTCCCACTGTGTGTTTTCTTGCTGTGCTTCTGCGCATTTGTGTCTCTAATCGTTCTGGCTCGACGGCATCGTTTAGATGTGGCAGAGCAGCAGGTGATGCACTTTAAACCCGACGGCGGCCTCTCCAAACGTGGCCTCGGGCCTGGAGCGGTGATGGGAGTGTATTGTTGCTCATGTTAGATTGTTCTCGCAACCTTTGTCTTGTTCTCTGCCCCTGGAGCCTCACGAGGTGGAAAATCAGACATCGAGTGGTTCATTTACCTTTCATAATTGCTTACGCAATCCGCCAATCTATCAAAAGACAATAAAATTATGTCAGCAGTTCAATCGCCGGCAATTCGCCGTGGTCCTCGCCAGGAATGCCGCCCGCAGGGGGTGGGGCAAAAGGAAAATACCCCCGCTGGTTTCGGAGCCCATGAGCGAACGCCGGCTCGACGTCGCCCGCCCAAGCTTTGGCCTCGATAGAGGACAGACTCTGTAGAGCAAGAGGTGCGTCTGAGGTTGAGGGCGTAGGCGCAGTACGGCTCAACGCTGCGATGTCGGGGTCGTGAAATCCTCGAATGGTCCGACGCGGTTTAGCGTCGTAATTCTTTGGGG